ATTTTCTCACCAAAGGCGTTCCCAAGGCAAAACTTCAGCATGATACTAGCAAGCTTGGCATGATTGACATCTATGCTCAGCTTGAGGGGGAGTGTAGAGAAKATKGGCCGAATGGCCCATAGGCTGTTTATTCTTTCTTACTGTTTATGTTCTTTTCTGTAATGGGCCTTATTCCGGGCCCATCCTTTCTTTTTTATGTTCTTTGTAATTTCTTGCCCATCTAAAGGCCTCCTTGTAATTATTCAAATTTATCTTAATAAAATAGTGTTAGGGTGCTGAGAGGGAGTAATGTTCGAAACTCTCACTCTCAAAACCCTCATTGCCGAACTCTCAAGGTCTGTTTTCTTTAGTTTTCTTCAATCAATTAGGGTAAAAAGGAAAGGAGAAAGGGGGTCCCTTGCCTAATACCCCTAGTAGCCGGGAAGTGATCTACCACCTTACCATTCACCAAAATAGAATAGTGGCATGTCCTAACACATCCTTTCACCCAATTGCACCACTTATGCCCAAATCCAGAAGACTCTAGGACTTCCAATAAGAACGACCAATCCACCAAATCGTATGCCTTTTTGAGATCCCATTTGCACACCAACTCTTTCTTCCCACTTCTTTTTAAGTCTTCCACACTCTTATTTGCAATTAGGATTTGATCCACAATTTGCCTATTCTTCACAAAGGCACCTTGATTCGGGGAAATTATTAAGGATTGCACCTCTGTAATCCTCCTAGATAACACCTTGGCAATAATTTTATAAAGACTGTTTGCCAAATTGATGGGCCTGGACTCTTTGGGATGACAAGCTCCTACCTTTTTTGGGATCAAAGCAAGGAAAGTAGAATTTAGACATGGATTGATCACCCCTCTTTCAAAAAGTTCAGAAAACACTCTTTGAATATCATCCTTAAGTATCTCCCAATAGTCTTGATAAAATGCCATCATAAAGTCATCAGGACCAGGTGCTTTAGATCTATCCATAGAGAAGATGGCTATCCTTATTTCTTCTAATTCAAATCTTCTTTCCAACCACACCCTCGACTCTTCAGGGAGCCCAGGCAAATCCAAACCTTCAATCTGTAATCTACTAGACAGTGGCCTTTTGTAGATGGACTTGAAGTGGTCCACAAGAGCCCCACTAATCTCATTTTGTTGGGTTAAGGTTATACCATTAATCACTAACTTAGAAATGAGATTCTTCTTTCTCCTACCATTTGCTATAGCATGAAAAAAGTTTGTGTTCCTATCACCTTCCTTTACCCACTTGTGTTTGGACTTTTGCCTCCAACTGATTTCTTCTTTGAAGAGGATATCCTCCAAATTTTTTCTCAGCTCCCACCTTAGCTCTTTGTCCCTTTCCCTGAATGAACCTAGTTCTTCTTTTGCATCCAGTTCCTCAATCTGATTAACCAACTATTGTTTTCTTTCCTCTAGTCTCCCAAAATGAAGTATATTCCATTCCTTGATTTTACTTTTCAACTCTTTCAGCTTCCAATGGAATTTCATACCTTCCCAATTGACCCTTGGGTTACTTTTTAACCACCACTCCTTTACTTTCTCCTTAAAACCTGGTTGGTACAACCACATATTCTCAAATCTGAAGGGGGTAGGTCCTCTATTCCCAGGCTCAAACTTACTTACCAATATTGGCCAATGATCAGAGGTGACTCTAGGCAATGTCCTTGACACCAAGTCTCCCCAATGTTCTTCCCACTCAATAGTAAAAAGATACCTGTCTAATTTTGAGCAAATTGGTTCAGTTTGGAGATTAGACCAGGTGAAACTGTTATGCAAAAGATTCAGTTCTTTGAGCTCAAACAAATTGATAAACTCATTGAATTTCCTCATACTTGTGGTATTTCTTTGCCGCACATTGTTACACTCCTCAGTGAATCTAATTACATTAAAGTCCCCTCCTACACACCAAGGACCTTCCCACAACCCTCTGATATCTCTTAGTTGTTCCCACAACTCATTCCTCTGCCTGTAACCATTAGGGCCATAGACATTAGTTAAGACCCATTCATACCCATCGACCACCTGTTTGAATTTGATAGAAACTGAAAATCTTCCAACTAATTCTTCAACTTCTTCCACAACTTCATTCTTCCACAATGTTACTATCCCTCCAGAGGAACCCCAAGAGGGTCTCATTGCTCAATTAAGACCATTTTCTCTCCACACACTTTTGGTCCACCTATTATCAAATGTCATGAGCTTAGATTCTTGAATTAGGAGTATATCTGGGTTTTCCTTTCTTAGGACCTCCTTTATTAACACTCTCTTTCTTACATTCCCCAAACCTCTCACATTCCAACTCACAATCTTCATTTTGCCTGCTTAATCTGTCCCTGATCCCCTTTTTTTTCCTATCTTCCTCCTTTCCTTCCCCTTCCCTTTCTTTCACTGAATTCTTTATCCCCTTCCAAATCCAGCTTCAACCTCTCGGCTTCACTCAACTTTCTTTTTCTCACCTTCCCTTCTTCTTTTCTATTCTTCAGGTATGCTTTCAACTCATTTGGGTTTTTTATTTTACAACCCAGCTTTCCTACAAATTCAGCAAATGAATCTTCTTTTGTTTCTTCTTTTTCAACCTTTTCTCGTTCCTCCTCTCTGGTCTCCTCATTCTTTCTAGACTCCATCCCATCTCCGGCTACTTTATTCCCACTTTCCTTACTCTCATTTTCCTTTTCCTTCCCTAAATCTTCCCTTGTCATCTCATTGAGCTCTTCTACTCTAAGGCTTCACACTCTCTCCCCTCTCCTTTTCCTCTTGTGCCTCAGCTACATCATGGGCAGTCGGCATGGAAGCAGATATGGAACCTGGGAGACAAACAACAAGGCCAGAGCTAGGATTAGTACCAAAACCCGAAAGCACAAACATACTTGGATTTGATTTTGGGGTAGGCTTGGCAAATTCCTTGGACCCAATAACTCCCTAACTATACTATGTAAATAAAACAAGTGATATCAGCCCAAAACTCAACAGATGCTAACCACCACATCATGCCAATAAATATAAGAGAGATTTTTTGGGGTTGGTCCTTCCAATAAATGTAAGGGAGTTTACGAGAGGAAGATAATAAATGATAAAGGCTTGAAGAAGATGGTTGATGAAAGGCCGGGGGGGGGGTGAGTTTCAAGCTTCAGAAGGGGAGCAGTTGTTGACTTCAGATGAGTAAAGATTGGAGGTTAGGCTAGGGCCAAGGATAAAGGAGGAGGGTGGTTGAGATGGCGAGAGATACTTTGTTGTGTCTCAGGGAGGTGGAAAGGAGGGGGGGGGGATGGAGATTGGGAGTCTGGCCAATRGGGATGTAAGGGTTGGCAGGAGTTTAGGTCTGTTTTATTGGGGAGTGAGGAGTTTTCTAGGAGGGCCTTTGGAGCTTTTGAARGGAGAAGGAAGAGAGAATGAAGAAGACCATAATAGGGGGAGGAGAGGCATGGAATGAGGAAGATGACGGGCAAGATGAAATGTTTGAAGATGATGACTAATTGCTCTTGGGCTGGAGAGGTTTCTTATGATTTCCTCATGCGTGTTTGTGTTTCTTATTGTCTTTTGTAGCTGGATTGGGTGTTACCTTAACATCTCAGTGACGTTTGTAATCAGTTTTCCTTTTTCAAATAGAATTTTCTCTTTACTTTTCAACAAAAATGATTTTGAGTATCAGCTAATGTCCGCCCTTCATCAAATGCATTTTTCGTTTTTGTTAATTTTCAATAAACTTATTTACACTTTTTCCAGGTCTCTTGAACCGCTTTTTATGGATGCAAGAATTGTTTCCCTTACTTGGTGGTGAAGTTTTACTGTTCAAGACTTCAGTCAGTTTTATTGACCATATACAAGAGTTTCTTAGTGCCATTCTTACTTCAACCCCATTGGTCTTGCCTCCTTTTGAAGAGTTTAAGGCGAATCCATATTATATTGTTGACTTTCTAAAGGTAGGCACTTGTATATTTTGTTATCACAATTCTTTGTTTACACTTCCTTATAGCTAAAATATGCCACAAGTTGATGTTCCAAAAGCAAAAAAGAGCAAATTTAGGTTTGGATTTTGTTTGGTGCTACTTGCTTGATTTCATTAATGAAGAAAAAAACCTTATCTAGGAACTGTCTCAGTCAAGTATAACTTATCTATACTTGAGTCCCTTCAGCAATGATTTTTTCTGTGTAAGTTCATGAAAGTTTATAGAGAATATCTTGAAAAATTTTAGTCATTGCAAAAGTTTGTGAACTGTTGGAAAAATACCTGGAAATCTTTAGACATAAATATACATGCATGAGTCCACCTTTTTAATTGCTTATGCCCTTCTCCATTCTTATTGCTCTAGTTATTATTGAGAGGTGAATCTTCATATCTTTCATTTTTATGCCATTCTAAGATAATAACATTCATATGCCACTGTGCAGGCCTATTGTATTTCAAGGCTTACTGCTGTTCCTTCACTTATGAGAAGTATTCTCCCTGCGATGCACGGTCCTTCTGTTATCCAGGTCCAAAGGTCCTTAAAATTGTTGATACTTAGTGGAGAAGTTCTATCAATATCTTTGTGGGATATGCTTCAGAAGTTATTTCCAGATACTAATATCTTGAATTTGTATGGAAGTACAGAGGTCAGCAGCTAATGTGTATTTCTAGGTTTGTCTCTGCTAGTTTTGTAGTCGAATTGTAAACTTACAGTTTTTTGGCCAAATAACATACTGCTGTCATGCATTGTCAAATAAAAGTTTTATTGTGTTAGAAAGACATGATATATGTGTAAGTAGTTAAATGTATCATCTTCTCATTTTTTTTTTAATTTGCTAGGCTCATAATTTGATTCCTATTGGCCTAAGCAATCTTATTTTTCGTAGGTTGGCTGGGTGACATAATTGATAGAGTTTGAGCCGTCATTTTACCAAAGAAACCTTAAAAAGAATGGATAGCAGCACAACTGTACTAAATTGATTGGTTAGCCCTTCCTGTCTTTTTTTTTTTGATTGGCAACACAGAAATCAGAAAATTATTAAGATTAAAAGGAAACAGAATACAACAAGATGTTGTGAGAAAAAAACAAAACCACTACAGAGTTACCCCCCCACCCTAATTTACAAATGTGCCCAGAACATTTGTTGTCTCTGAAGCCCTTGCTTAGCTAAACTGTCTGCTAAGCTATTAGAATATCTTCTGACCCATCTAATTTGAACATTCATATCTTTTGAAAGCCATTTAAAGTGACTGAAGTCATTTCTTAACTGCCAAATCACCCCTACACCTTTTTTAAGCCATCCCATTACAATGTCTGAATCACCATTAATGATCAGCCTACCAACTCCCAAAGATTGCTGGTAGGAATTCTGCTCTTACTGAATCACCTTACTCTATTGGGCCTGAGAACAAAGCACAAATAGCACCACCAACATCTCTAACCGGTCGAATTCGGATATCCTATTCATACCGAATAGCTAATCAGATTCAAATTCGGATATGACCTGATTCGATTCAATAAATATCCGAATTCGACTGATTTAATATATACATTTTTTAAATGTTTTATATAATTTATATATAATAATTAAATTATATAAATAATATATATTTATATACTTTATTATAAATAAAATATTTATTTTATATATTTATTAATTACCTAAAATAATTAATTAGTCGAATTTGAATCGAATCGAATATTCAAATATTTAATTTGATTTGAATTCGAATATTAATTTTCAATATCCGTCAGATATCAAATCAAATTCGGATATCGAATTTTTTAATCGGATTCGAATTCGGATATTGCTAGATCCAATTCAAATTCGATTCGTTTACACCCCTACCTCCAATTCCTGAGGGACATGGATTACCCACACTGCTGCCATCAAAATTCAGTTCATCCAACCACCCTTGGGGGTGACCAAACCTCTAAGATTTTTTGTTTCCCAGAGGAAGAGTCAGATATAGCCCCCAAACTCCTAAAAAGGTCCTCCACCTTGAAATCCGAGAAGAGACTCAGGGTCTTAACCTAGTGTGCAACTCTACGAGTAATGATCTCTATCATTTTCTCCTTAGTTCTCTCCTTCTCCCCAAAGGTTTTTGTATTCTTTCTTCCCAAACTGTCCAGACACTACTACTCTTGTACATTTCCACAGAAGCCTTCCCCTCCTTTTTGTGCTTCTTAACACAGTAGGGCTGAACAACCTCTCCAAACTGGCAGGAGGGATCCATCTACAGCAAAAAAGAGAAGAAGACCATTCCTAGATATAGCAAACAATTTTTTCTTTTTTTAGATGAGTGACGCTTATTAAAAGAGAGAAATAATATACTTACATAGATGCCAAGCATCCCTTAGATTAGGTAGCTGGGAATGCCAACTTAGTTCAAGCATTAGTTACGCTATCTGGTACATTCTCATTTTCCACCTGACCCCAAAATAGTTTATTTCAACTTACACTTTGTTTTGCCAACCCATCAGCCTTCCCACTTGCTGTTTTAATCCATTTTATATTGGTAACAATTTCTGTTTTCAGCTCTTTAATCTCCTTCATTACATTCATTTATTGCCATGGGGTCAGCTCCTCATCGTTAAAACAACTTGTCACCACTTCAATATTTCTATAGTTGAGGGTTTTAACTAATCTCAAACCTTGTAAAGCTGCTGTTTGCTCTGCTATAGTAGAGTTTCCTTGACCAATTAGTCCTGAATACAAAGCTAGTACTGTACCATTGCAGTCTCTAGAAGTTCCACCAGTACCTGATGGTCTTGGATTTTCCCTACTACAGCCATCCAAATTTAGATTTATCAAATAATTCCTGGGTGGCATCTGTTCTCATATTAGAATATGGTATTCTTGCAGTCTGTATGGTAGAAGAATAGAAGAGGAGAGATTTCTATTGTGATCCAATGTGAGGAGAACAATCAGCCTCCCTCTCCTAGTTGGCCACTATTTATAGACCCTTTTAAATGCATTAGTATCATCTGTTCCTATGTAAGTTGGGATAGATCTATACAAGGCAAATATTACAGCTAATGGCTATTCTGTCCTTAAAAATGTTTGGGACAGAAAATATTTTAAAAACTAATAGAAATTCAAATGACAAATATTCTCAGCTCTCCCATTTCCTTTTGAAAATGGTCCTTTTTATCTTGTGTTACTAGGAAAATGGTTGTGGAGATTTTGTTCCAAAAGAAATAGTTTGTAGCACAAGGTAATTGCAAGAATTCATGGCAGGGAGGGTACTGGTTGGGATCAGTGATTTAAAAGGCATGCCTAGGCGCACAGGTGAGGCACATTTTAGGGTAGGCGCCTCGCCCAGGGCCTAGGCGCAGCCCATTCAAAAGGTGCATGCCTGGTGCGCCTTGCGCCTTAGCCCGGGCGTGCGCCTTTTGAAAATTTGCCGCTTTTTCCATTTTTTTGAGTCTGGCCGCTGGACTATAAAATTCTTATTTTTTGTGTGAAAACTAATAACTTAAGACTCTAACATGGCCTTGTTTGGGCTCGAGGGGTGTGGCACAAAGGCGGCTTGTAGAATTAGGAATGTAATATGTCACATTAGCTACTTTGATGCAATTGAGAAAAAAAGAGATTGTGGGTTTTATATGCTTGAAAATGTTTTATATGTTTGATTTCAATTTTAAACTCTCATTTGAATATGCGTTACATATTATATTTATGTATTTTAATTTTAGATATTAGGTTTTTTAAAAAATTTATTTTACAATTTAAGTTTATATTTTTATTAATATTATGTTTTATAATTTTTTTGATTTTTTAGCTTTTTTTTTAAAAAATTTTGCACCTTGCCTCAACAAGGCGCATGCCTCACCTTGCGCCTTGCGCCTTAGGCGCAAAATGGCCCTTGCGCCTTTTTGCACCTTGCGCTTTTAAAACACTGGTTGGGATGCTAAAATTGTCATTAACACAACTTCAACTTCTCCTTGGAAAGCAAGGAATTCATGAGTTATATCCTCTACTTAGCTTTAGCTGTTTTGATGTGGCGAAAGGTGACAATTCTTTCTAGAAAGACCTTTGGGTGGGGGAAATACCTTTAAAAGATCATTTTCCCGAACTGTTTGCTTTCTCTAACCTGCAAAGTGAAAGTACCCCAGTTTGGGTACACCCTCCCCTTTAGGTCTTAATTGGATCCTCGGTTTTATAAGAGGTCTAAGGGATAGTGAGTGTATCTCTTTGACTGACCTGCTTGACATTTTTGAGTCAGCCTTTCTGGATCCCAATTTGGAAGATTCTAGAATTTGGGTACATTAACTAGATGGTTTATTTACTTTCTTTGCCTTTTCTTTTTTAAATTTTCTCAAGGTAGCTCACAAGGTGTGGAGATGTGATATAGACCATTAAAAAATAGTAAAAATATTTCAAATTATAACAGAGAGGAAGCGAAGAAGAAAAGACAAGAAGAAGAAGAAGGGAGAAGGGAGAAGAAGGGAGAAAGAAGGAGTTTGGCAATCTCCTCTTTCTCCTTTCTAATCTTTTATTAATTTTACTAAGATTACATAAATTACAAGTTTGCTCTTAAGTGGGCATCCACTTCATCAGCATACTTAGAAAACATAAAGAGAATTGAAGGCCCATAAAGAAAATGCCTATTAAGAAAAATAACAAGAAGAACTAATCAATAAGATAGAAATGGGCTAGGGCCCATTCGGTCCAGTCTTTCTACACTCCCCCTCAAGCTGAGCACAAATATCAATCATGCCCAGCTTGCTTATATAGGAACCATCTTTCCTTTAGGAACACCTTTTGTCAAAACACTACCCAACTATTCTTTAGAAGCTATAAATGGCAGACAAACTTCTTCTGAAGCAACTCTCTCCCATATAAAGTGCCTATCAACTTCTATGTGTTTAGTTCTGTCATGCTGAACAGGATTATGTGCAATGTTGATAGCGGTCTGGTTGTCACAATATAACATCATTGGCTTCTCACAGTCTATACCCAATTCTTCGAAAAGTGATCTCAACTAGGGGTGATTATGGGCTGGGCCTGGGTTGGGCTTTGCCTTCATAACAATGGGCTTAGGCTAGGCTCGGGCCAAGATTCTGGGTCTAATTATTGTATTTTAGTTCAAAAATTAAACAATTGTACTTTTTTTTTCACTTATTGTCGTGGAGACTATAGTGACCTGTAAGAAACTTTAAACTTAATATCAAGATAAAAGCTTCTAACATAAAAGAAATTAAATAATTATACTTTGTAATTTATAAGTTTCAATTGGTCATTAGTATGCTAAAAATGATAATTTTAACAAACCAATTCTTCTATCAACAAAAAATCAACCTAGAACCTATAATATCTATCAAAAAATAACCATCCATTATCATGTAATATCCACAAATCATCAATTATTAAATCTCCTACAAATCTCTATTAGTCTATATTTAATATATAAAATATCAATTATCAAATATTTTTAAATAACATATATATATTATTTATAAATATCCGGGTCTGATGCGGGCCCGGGCCCGGGCTGAAATGATTACCCCTAATCTCAACCACAAAAATTCTGAAGCTCCATGTGCTATTGCCCTGCACTTTTCTTCAGTCGAGGATCTAGCCACTACAGACTGCTTCTCACTCCTACATGATACAATGTTCCCTGCCACCATAACATAGTA